TTTTATAGTGTGCTGACCAAAACTGGATGCAGTACTCTAGGTGTGGTCTTACTAGGGCTTTGTAGAATGGTATTAGTACCTCACTTGGTCTTGATTATATCCCTCTGTTAATGCAATTTAGGACTGCATTGACTTTTTTGGCTGCTGCTGCACACTGCTGGCTCATATTTAGCTGGTAATAATCCATTGATAAAAAGTAATCCATTGATTGGGAATTAGAAGGGAGTTTTATAGTAGTGGCCTCTCTACCTCATCCTGCTTGTCACAATTAGTGGGAGTTTGGGACAAATTATAGAGCACAGTCTAAACATTGGGGTCTTTAAAAGAATCCATTTAAAATAAAGGAATAAATCCTCCTGATGTAGTACAATATTGCAAAATGTATTTCTTAATAAAAATTCCTTCTTTTCCCATTTAGAAATCATTTGTGGCCAACCTCCTGTACTGTCTTTCTCAAACGTGATATGGAATGGGTCTACTCATCCAGGAAGCACCGTAGAATACAACTGCATGAAAGGTTTCTATTCCATGGGGACAAAAAGTCATTCTGTTTGCACCAGAAATGGATCTTGGGAAATGTTGGATTTAAGATGTAAAAGTAAGTGCCTAATGAAATCCTCAGTGTGATTTCTCTAGTCATGTATATGATTTATTTTATTTCGTTGTTACATTCATAGTGTTACAGTGGGAATATCACTCTGAAAACAGAAGGAGAACAGTATTACAGATGTTTCCTGATCTAAGAACAGAAGCGATTTGTTTGAATTCCCCAAATATCTGAGCTATAATTTCAAATTTTTCTGAGATCTTCCAGTTCCCCAGAGTTCATTTAGAGTAGACTGTGTGTGCGTGTGTGCATGTGTTTCATCAGCTGACAGCACATGGCTGTTCTTTTTAGATTCAGAAGCTAAGCTACGTTAGACCTGGTTATTGCTTATTCTCACCAGAGAATTCCAGGATTTGGAGGCCAGATTGTGGAATAGAAAAGATATTCTGAAAAGAAAATGCATGGATGAATCCGTATTAATAGTCAAACATTGAGCTTGACTTGAGGATATATCTATCTTTTATTTTGAACATCTGAAAGGTGGTGACTTCATTGGCCAGTTTAGGAAAGGCAGGTCTATACAGACTCAAATTAAGATGCATAAGGACATAATAACTTATACATGTAAAAACAAAAAGTTTCTTGACAAACATTGTAGAATTAGAAGTGAATGTTTAGAACAATCCCTCCCTTAATCTGATGCTATATAATATATTGAATTATAAAAAGCAGCTATCAGATTAGGTTGTAATTATTTTTTTTAAAAACCTACTGGTTTTTTATTTGGTAATTAATTATAGCATAGAGTCTCAAATTATAAATAACTATCCTAAGGACAGGGTTCGTAACCCTTAGTTACTAGTTTTTTCTGTGGAGATTGATTTCTACTGTGATCTACTGTAGAGGGGACCACTGTTAAACTACAGTGAAATGAAGTATATTATCTATGACACATTTGCCATCCCAAGTTTCCCCCCAATAATTTTATTAAAAATTACATTTAAGAAATAAGGAAAATAATAAAAGCTAATTCAGGAATACATACACACATATATACAAAGAGGAAAAATTGAGGGGGGGGGAACTCTTCCCCCTTCATTCCTAGCAAGCATAGGCAAAATTAACATCTTATCACTGTCTCTTAAAATACAAGACACTTCTTCATTGGATTACCTGACCTGATTTTCTATAAACCCATCTGTAAATTTTCAATTACTCTTATTAATCAGAAAAATCCACTAAGACTTAACAGAAATAACAACTTAAAATATTTATATTTCCCTACTTTGGCAAATTCCCCCTAACTATCTCTTCTAATACTCAAAGCCGAATCCCAATTAACAATTAAATATTGTAAAAAATACTTTTACAAGTTAATCCATTCCACTTTGTTAAACATTACCAAAACTAAAACTCATCATCCAATCCCTGTCCAAAAAGTCCCCCTTTAAAGATCACCAGAATTAACAGGCCATTATTTTAATGGCAATCTCTCCAACAAAATGCCAACATCTACGAGTCTCTTCTCTCAGAATTTTTGTAATCCTCATTAAAATCCTTTTGCAGTTCCACTGAAACAGCTTCAGGAAATTCCACAAAGTCCAATGTAAAAAATAATACACATTCTTCTTTTGTTTTATGTTTCATGTATCTTTTTGATTTTTTAATTCATAATTCAATTTCATTTGTAAATCCAGTATTTCTATCCCTTTCTTATAAGGTGTAGTTTTTAAATTCCCTTAAAGTCTATTTCAATTTTATTTAATAGAGTTTCTTCCTTTTCAATAGTACCTTTTGGTTCCATTATAAATTTAATAGCTCTTCTTGCACCCAAACATAAAATTTCCAATAAAATTTCCCTTAAAGCCATCTAAATGTTTGATTTTGTCACAAAGTCACCCTTCTTCTTAATCTCTTTATAACACTAGTTTGAAAAGGATTGTTAAATTTTTAATGGTACAGTTTTGGGGTCTTGCATTTTAATAGAACAGTACTGGCATCCAGTGGCCTTTTTTATTAACAGCATACATATGATAAATCTAGTATTGCAGATTGACACTAAACTGAGCCCAGGGACATAATATAAAGTTAAGAGAATAAGATTCCTCTGGCGCTCCAATATCTTGCAAGAGCTTCATTTTCAGTAATTCACAGAGGAAACCTTTTGGTTCACATTCATTGTGATGGGGGAAACTGAGGCTTATATTTTGCCATATGTATATCTGTGCCTATTGGAGCTCCTTTTTGATCTGGAAGAAATTGTGGAGTTTGATATCATGTATTAGATTAGTGATTTAGAAAATTAGAATTAATTACTTATGAACTGAAGCATAATGTGCTTTTAAGTAATGTGTTTAATGCATGTTGCATTTAAATATTATTAATTGGCATTATAGCTTCATCTTTATTCCTTTTTTGTTGTTTAATCTGGTTTTTGATTTTCAGTAAAGTACACTTGAACTTTGTATTCCTAAATATGGAAATAATTTGAAGTGGTTTTCCAAACTCTTGTAGTATCTGTAGACCGGCACCGGGATGAGGCATGCTGGAAACCAGGTCATGCAAACAAGGGAAGCCCCACCTGAGAGATGTATCTGTGGGATGCAGCCCCCATCTGGGGGATGAAACCCCATCTGGCGGGGGATGTGAAACCATACCCCCTCTGGTCCAAAGAAACACCTCTCCACAGAACCAGCCTTTGCTTCCCAAAAGGTTGGGGACTGCTGATCTAAGACATATTTCTTATGTGAGGGGAGAAAGAAAAATGCTATTTATGGGCCTTAAAATCAGATGGGGTGTTTTTTATTTTAATATATAAATATAATACATAGTACATTCTCAAAGCAGGATATGAACCTGGATTTAAAATTAACATGGCATTTTCTCTCTAATTTTGCTGAGATATCAGCTTGTGGAAAAAGTAAAAGTAAAATTTCATTTGTTCATTTGTTTTTAATAATTTTAAAAATACTGGTCATTTAATGACCATCAGTTTTACCACAGGAAGAGGTGCTTATGGGCTTTAAAGCATCCCCAGCCGTCATAAATGTTTGTTGGTGAGTCAGCTTTATAACGTATGCTGTTCTGCAGTCGTGATTGTGATTTTTTTTGCTAGTTTTCTGCCATTTTTGCCAGTTTTAGCAAAAAGCATTCATTCAAATTAGTGGGTTCATTTAATTATCACTGCATCTGCTTATTAACCACCATGAACAAAGATCAGAAAACTATTCAGACATGTTGGAAGAAAGGGTGAACTGAAGACTGCTCGATGAATAGCTAGTTGACAACTGAAATGCCAAAGGTTGAGTGCCAAAGAATTGAGACCTTTGAACTATGGTGCTGGAGAAGACTCCTGTGAGTCCCTTGGANTGGGACTCGGAGGAGGCCTAATCTATGGGATCTAATTGGTCGGATGGAGGTAATTGGCAGTAGGCGGTCTCTCAAGTTTAACTGTTAAGCATTAACTATTGCAACATCTACCCAGTGAATGTAAGTGTTTGCAGCATGGAAGCCTTCACATATACAACTGTTCATACACTATATCCTCCATCACTTCACATGAAACCCAATGTGGCTTCAGTGCTGCAGACATTTATGCTGAATGTATGTGTATTTGCCACCTGTAGCCAGTGTCACTGAAATGACACTGGTTGCAGGGGAGTTTATTTGGTGTTTTTGATGGTTCCAAATAACAAATGACTAAATGAGGCTAATATTAGGGTCATCACATCTGGGCTGGACAGTGGTGTACCTTTCATAGATATTATTCATTTTACTTATTATCTTGTTTCTATTTTATCCTTAAAAACCAATCCCTAAAGCAGGAAGCTTATTCTTCTCTAAAGCTGATTATAATCAGATTTAACAGATAAACAGAGTTAGAAGGGATCTTATAGGTCAGTGATGGCAAACCTTTTTTGGCTGCCGTGCTAAAAGCGGTGGGAGCACAGAGGGGTCATGCGCTGACATGCCACACCCATAATGCTATATGCATGTACCCCCTTGCGTGACCGAATGCGCGTGATCAGGAGACACCCCCCCCCGCTTTTGCCGTGGTTTTTTTGCCTTCCCCAGGCTCCAGAGGCTTTCTAGGAGCCTGGGGAGAGCGAAAACAGCCTCCCCGCCCCCGATGTCCTCCGGAGGCTTCAGGAGCTTCCCTGAAGCTCTGGAGGGCAAAAAATGGACTATGGGGAACCCGGAAGTTTGGGAATGGTGACTTCCGGTTTGTCTGTAGGGCCGATTTTCGACCTTCAGAGCCTTCAGGGAAGCCTCCGGAGGGCAACAAACGGACTTACAGACAAACTGGAAGTCACTTCTGGTTAGCTCATAGGGCCAGTTTTTGCCCTCCGGAGCCTTCAGGGGCCTTCAGGAGGGCAAGCAAGCAAACCGGAAGTCACTCCTGAAGGCCCCTGAAGTCTCAGGAGGTTGAAAATCAGCCCTATAGGGAAAAAAAAACTTTGGAAATGAAAAATGATATATTTATGCCTTAATTGAAAAAAGCAAATGATGATATAATT